CAAACAATTAAAACGTTATGTAATTGACAAGTTATGTTTTGATTGTTTGCATTGTATGAATGATTTTTGTAAGTGTGTTTGCAAGGTGTTGCAGTTGAACAATTTATCCATTTTCATACCCGTTTCTGAAAAATAGTGTTGTAACTTGTGCATTGTTTTTATTAAATGAGGTACCAGGTTCTAGCCGAAGTAATTTTTGATCTAGTCAATTCTGTTATGGTCATTTTCTTAAGTTACTTTTACTGAAGAATTTTCCATTTGCAAGTTTTCAAATTGAATGTTGCTCACTTAACAGATTGAGGAAGCTCTTGTCCGAAGAAAGAAGATGGAACTTCTTCAAAAATACGCCAGTGAAGCTCTTCTGGCTCAAAGTGAAGAGGCTAAAAGACTTCTAGGATTATAGTAATTGCTCCTTCTATTTTTATAATCTATCTTGATTCAGTATCTTATTGATTCTATAGAAATAAGACTTCACAAGTTCTAGAATGAAGCAGGTTATTTTTTCCATAATTTGTTTTATTACACATTTTTCACTCTATCCTAACTTATGAAAGTTTATTCATTTTCCGTTTCCCTCTTCAAGCTCTAAATAGCTAGCCTGCTTTGAATTTATCTTTGTTACACCTATTTTCCTCTCTGTTAATTTTGTCTATCATGTATAAATTTGCAATTGTCAGACATTTCTACATCTGTGGAACGGTATTTAATTTTGAGTTTTCAAGAGAACTGAAATGTTCTATATAATTAATATGGAACTATATATTATGCTATCGGAAAAAAACACTCACTTGACTGGGTTTTTTAAATGCTGAATATTTCAGCAAGTAAAATTGTAAATACTTTTTTATAAAATCTCTCAGTTTTTAAATAAAACTTTATCAGTTTTAATTGTTCATTGCTTTTGTTAAAAATACTAAAATTTCTCAGCTATGAATATAGTAATTTATAAATGATATGAATTCTAGGAATATATGAGTATCAACAAAATGAAAAAAATCACACATTCTATGTAAAATTTTGTGTGTTTGTTTGTGTGTGTGTGTGTGTATGTGTACAAAAAATTAATTTTCCAGGAACAGTTTGGAGTTTTATAACTGTTTTTATCATAGGCTTACAATGATATTCAAATACAGTATATAATTATACAATTAGTCCATCATACAGCAACATGAAGTTTCTGTAATGTGACCCATTTTTCCACTAGCAAACTAACAAGTGTGGATGCTAACATTTAGCAATTGTAAGACAGAACAAAATATTTTTAAAGTATTAGTCAAATCAGTCTTCATATACTGTATATTGTATTGTATTGGCGAGTGGAATCTTTAAATACATTTTATAAAATCATAGCATAGTATACTAGCTATATATAAACTTGGAGCAAAATTTCAGTACCTGGAATAAGAAAAATAATATAAGATTATAGACTTGATGCAGATTCACCCATTACTGGCAAAGCAGACGTAATTGGTAAAGCCAATTCTTTAAAGTTTAAACCCTTCCCACTATGGTAAGTGAAATTGGTACTAGAGATTTGGATACACTTGAGGGGTTGGACATTGCAAAATCACCAGAGCTTTCGAGCAAACAGTTGCATTTCTCTGAAAATGTAGTTTTGTGATTTGGAGAGTGTTTCTGAACCGGAAACTTTGGGGTGTATATCTGGGGGAACAGTGATTGCCAAAATACTGTTTTGAAAATAAATGTATTCTACCCATAACCAGGATCCCTAAAAATACAACGTGCAGAATAGCCCAGTGCACATATTTTGGAGAGAGAAAGGTTTCCTGATGATGGATTCCAGCGTGAACCCCAAAACTTGGAAGAATAAACCTTTGGTCCCAATGGCCAGCTCAGATTGGATTCTGCAGTGTTGTTTTTTTCTTAAAGAAACCAAAGTCAGGCTTTGCATGTTCTTGTTATCTTCTTCAGGATAGCACTTATACTGGTTATATGGCTTTAAAGGATGTCTACATCTCACCAAGTACTTAGCTCAACTTGGCTTAGCTGGGAGACTGCCACATTCAGATTTTTCATTAAAAAAATCCTGATCATAAAAAGGCCTCCAGAATATGTGCTAGAGCACTATACATACCCCTGGTTAATGGCTTACAAAGTAGCCTCTAAATTAGAGGTCCTAGAGTGCATAGAAAATAGTATGCTTGGATCTGAGTAACACTTACAGCATTCTAGCAAAATGGGTCCAAACCATTCATATAGTCCTTAGCAGGGACCACTGAATTGGCACAGGTGTGACTGTCCTATTGCGTGTAAACTTGAGTTGGGAAATCAAAGTCACCATATACAGCCCATGTAATTATAACAATGGCATATATTGTAGAAGGTAGTGATTTGAAATGTAAAAGGAGTAAATGGTAAAGAGTATAAATTTAAAGAAAGAACAGTAAGTATGTTGTGTATCTCTGAAACTAAGGAAAAGGGAAAAGATGTAATTGATTAGAATACAGGGACTCTGAACTGTGCCACTGATGGATCACATACTGAATTAGGAATGATATATAAGATATTTCAGTATGCATTCATGTTATGTAGTTTCTTATGTGGTGGATATAAAAGTAGGAATTTATGAGGTGATAGGATTTTATTTTCTAGTGTGAATTGTGATAATGGAAGAACCAGGTGTGAGTTTTGGGGAAAACTGCTATATTCTAAATAAATGCAATTCAGAGATGCAATTCATTATACTACTAGTTGAAATGAATGGATGGATGAAACAGGTACAAAAGAAAAGGGTTATTTGGAGACTGAAAAAATAGTTGATTGTGCAGAGGTATAATGAAATGAGCAGTTTGTGGTTGTTTGCTAAATATAATAACAAGTACATGATATAAGTATGTGGGTTGAATACAAAAGTGAGCTACCTCTGCACCAAAGAAGTATGCTGAGTTGTTACATGTGTAGAATGAATGAAGATTGAGCCACAAAACTCAAGAAGTTTGTGTATGAAAGTATGAAGGAAGAATGGGTAAACTGAGAGGAGGAAAAGACTGAGAAAGTTGCAGTTGGAAGAAGTTTATCAGAACCTCAGAAAGAAGTATAAAGTATGAAAAGTGGTGGAACTCAGAATGCACTGCAATGAGAGAATGTTATGCGGGTAAAGTAAATGGCATTTGTACAATATTTATTCATTTATTTGATTTGTCAATCGCTTACAAGATAATAGGTATAAGTATGAACATGAATACATTAAATGGACACATATAAGAAAAATAAAAAGAATCAATAGGACAGGTAGGCACATTGGTGCGCTTTTGCACGCTCCCTACAGACCTCTTAGGAAAGGGATGAGGTCAATAGTAGACAGTCTAAGGTTAAAGTTTTTGGGGTTTGGGGAAGAAACCACAGAGTCAGGTAGAGTATTCCAGACATTGACCACTCTTGCTGAAGTCATATTTCCTGCAATCAAGTTTGGTGCAGTTAACCTTGATTTTGTATCTATTGTATGCTGTTGTGTTGTTGTGGTTGAAGCTGAAGTATTCATTGACAGGTAGGACATTGCAATGTATGATTTTATATACTATACTTAGATCAGACCAAAGGTGGCGTAGTTCTAGGTTTTCTAGGTCTAGAATTTCAAGTCTGGTGGCATAAGGTATTCTGCAACGAGTAGAGGAGTGGAGAACTCTTCTTGTGAAATATTTCTGGACTTTCTCAACTGTATTAATATCAGATATGTAATGTGGGTTCCAGACTGATGAGCTGTATTCGAGTATTGGTCTAGCAAATGTTTTGTATGCTCTAGTTAGTAGTGTAATATTACAGAGAAAAAGCTATGTAGGATTAGGTTAACAACTCTTTAATGCTTTTTTGGCTATGTAGTTACAGTGGACTCTAGCATTAGATCATTAGAGATGAGTACTCCAAGGTCCTTGACAGAGTTTGGATCATCAACAAGGTCTTGACTATTCAACCTGTATTTTATTTTCTGATTTTTTTTGGCCAATATGTAAGACAGAGCATTTATTTGTTGAGATTTGAAGTTGCCATTTGTTTGACCATTCTGATACATAGTGGAGGTCTTTTTGAAGGGTAGCAGTATTGTCTGTGGTATTGAACAGCTTTACATCATCAGCAAAAACACAGTTGCTCTTAATATGATCACAGAGGTCATTTATGTAGAGTATGAAGAGAGTTGGTCCTAGAACACTGCCTTGGGGGACACCACTGTTGACAGGTACAGAATTTGATAGGACGCTCCCAATATTGACCATTTGTTGTCTAGACTTAGCTGAATTACTATTTCATGTTTATTTAGTTTTTTTGGCTTAGTATTTCTTCCATTTTCTGTAGTTTACCAGAAGGAGTGGCCTAATGAGAATGTAATGTGTGTACAAAAACTACCAGGCATTCAAAATTATGGACCAATTTTCCCCAAATGCCAGTGGTGTTATTAAAAAAAAAACAATTGCTGTTAATTTGATTCAGAATCTGAAAAAGGATTGAATACAAAATTCACTTTTGTGAAAATGTGTCAGATTGTTGCAGATATAAAAACTGTTTCGTCAAATGGAAATTAAGTTAGGAGCATATTTCTTTACCGAAATTCCTACTTTCGAGTAGCGACTCCACTTTTCCGTACACTTATTAATAATTTTATCTAATTTAGGTAAAATAGTCTTACATATATCTATACAGACTCTTTACGTTTTTTTAACCAAACTCCAGGACTCCTTTGCTTTTTCGACCAACGGGGCAAAATTGCAAAAAAGGAGAATAACGACAAGCCCCCTAGGCAAACGGTCCATCCCGCCACCCACCCTACCCCCGAAAAAGAAAGGCGAATAAGAACTTGAGTTGCCTAACCGTCGGCAAAGCGAAGCGGGCGAGGAGCTCGACGGCCGCCCCGCCGATTTCTCTCTTCAGGATCTCCGCAGAAACGCCGGAGGCGACGAAGGGCGACCCTAAGCGGTGAAAGGGCCTGTCCGTGCCTGGCAGGCTCCACCTCTTGGGCGACGTAGAGGCAAAAGGGGGCTGGCCCAGAGAAAAGCATTAGGGAGAAGCCGGCGTCGGCTTTCTGGCCGTGGAGGCGATGCAGCTGAGGCGCTCGTTGCTCTTTTGAGAGCCCTCGGGCAGGAGGGCTGACTGGGTCCCTGGCGAGCCCGCGCAAAGGACGGGCGCTATGCGGGGCCTGCTGCCCCTCCTCTGCCGGCGTCTTCAGAGAGCCCCGGCTGCGGGAGATCCGGGGAGGCTCCGGCTTTGCCACGAGGCTCCGGCTCCCGCAGCTTCCGGAGGGGGCAAAGGCAGCGCCCAGGTAAAGAGAGGCTTGTCCGCTTTTTCTCGCCCCGGGATGCTGAGGGCGGGAGACCGGGAGCGATTTGGGAAGCCCCCTTCTCCCCCGTCGCTCCCTTGAGCCCCGCACGTCCCCGACCCGAGCAAGCCCCGAGAGCGTAAGGTGTACACGGAGCTCTTTCTCTCCGTGCCGGGGTGGCATTTCTTTCAAACGGGAGCAGAAGGAGAAGGGAAGAAAAGCCTGGCGCCATCTGCTTTCGGAAGACCTACGCGGGAAAGCGCTGCTGATTTATTTTATTGGGGGGGGGGGGGGGGGGGGGCTTCGCGCTTTCGTGGGTCTGAATGCCGATTTTGTTTTTTTGAGGGGGTGGGGAAGCAAACACCGAAGGTCTTCCCGGTTAAGAGCACTTTTCTTCTCGTTTTCATTTCACTCTTACTGCCACTTTCCCCACTTCGGAGGAAACTGATCAGCGAAGGAAGGCAGAATTTGTTATTTTCCAGCTGTGGCTTGCTCAGAAAAGAGCTATGCCGGGGCTTTACCCTTTTTTTCAAGCAGCCAGCAATGAGTTTTGGGGACCCGGTTTTTTGTTTTACTCTTTTTGCTCAGGAGCAGCTAGCTATTCGGTTCCTGTCAAATTGGTTCATGGTGATTGCTTCTGCTGCTGTCAATTTTTTGTTTTTGTACTCCTGGGTAGTTGTGAAACTTACATTTCATGAGTTCTTGGGAAGTTGCACGGAACTTGCATGGTCAGATTTGAGTGATCAAGGATTTGTATTCCAAAATATTTGCTGTACATTCTCTGTTCATTTTAAGCTGGGTTATCTTGTTTGAAACAATTCAGACAGAGAAGAGTTTGTTTTAAATGATAAAGATTGCTGATGGTTTCTTAATCACCCTGGTTTTCAAACATGTGCTTTTTTAAAGTCATCCCTGAGTTAACCAAACATAGGAATTCTGTATTGTTTGCTAGTTGGAGAACACCTTTAGGCTAGGAGTTATATATAACGCACCTTTCAAATTTAAGCAGAGTTATTTGGGCTCAAGTAACCTGTCTGAACTAGTAGTGCTCCTTTTGTAATCATCATCACTACTGCTGTAGTTCCTTAAGCGAGGAACTGGGTTCCTCCACATAGGTGGGGGAAAGAGTACATGAATTAGTATTACCTTTATGTTTAGAGGATTATATTCAGAGTTAACAATGTGCTATATATTAAGATTCATAAACTAGCATTAATCTTTGTATTCATATATGAGAAGGAGTTAGATGAGAACAATCAGTCAATAAATGTTTTCTGCAAAAACTAGAATAAAGACAAATTTAGAAGAATGTGCAGAATGTGGAAATCATTTAAACCCTTTTAGAGGCAGTGGTCATTGGAAACACGTTTTAACCTCTCCGTAACAAAATAACATGCTGCACCGCTGTTTCTACTCTCAGTATATAGGAACAGTGCAGGTTGCATATGGTGCTCCTTTGAGTCACATGATGGGGGGATTAGAATGAACAGTAGGCAGCATTAGAAGCTGCTGCCCTAGTGCTTCTATAGGGAAACACTATTTTTTTTCTGTGGCCCTGATCCTCCCCATTTTTAATGTTCTTTTTGTTTTGCCAACTTCACTACCACATTTGGTATCATTCTGTCTTTATGGAGTTATCCTGCTGATGATCAGAGAGGATCCTGGTTCCTTTACATATCTTTTCCTGGGTTATTTTGATTCCAGGGATGTTTATGTTTCTTTAGAGAAAGTCAGCGTACATGAAAAATGCAGTAATGTTTGAAATAAGACACTATTCTCATGTTGAAAGGCAAGCACAAATAACAGCAAATCAACTTGGGCTGCAACTTTGATATTAATGAAGATGATGGGTTGCAATATTGTAAAAGGCATGAACTTTCAGCTTTTTTCAGAAACATTGTTTGAATTATTAGTCATAATAAGGTTCAGGCTCAAGGTTGACTTAGCCTTCCACCCTCCTAAGGTTAGTAACATGGGGACCCAGATTGTTGGGGGCAATATGTGAGACTGTAAACCACTTAGAGAGCACTGTAAAGCATTGTGAAGTGGTATATAAGTCTAAGTGCTATTGCTATATGAGGTGGCTATATGGTTTGCTTTTGCAATGGGTTTATTTTGCAAAAGCCATTTGTTTATTCAGTTTGTTTTCATGTACAAAGAGTAATCCCAAAGGTAAAATGTGGGTTGTGTTTATACTTGCAGCCATGTACAAATCTCAACCATCACTACTAGCACATTCAAGCTGACTACTTAAAAATTAGATTGCTGGACTTGTTATATTCTTTGATTTTCCTTTTTGATTTTACTTATTTTAGCAATATGTTTCTATCTTTCAAAAGATCAAAATTGTGCAGGGAATTTTTTTTTTCTGATGCACTTTACAGAAGTTGGACTTTGAAGAAACAGGATAGGAAGTGTACAGTACTGACACTTTTCAAATTTGGTGTTGGAGAAAAACTGAGAATACCAAGAAATAGATCATCAAACAAATCAAAACAGAGATGGCACAAATGAGCAGACTGAAATGATCATACTATGGACACATGTTAAGACCTACTTATCTGGAGAAATCAGTAATGCTGGGAAAGGTGGAAAGAAAGAGCAGAAGGTGATGGATTCATTGATAGCAGTAATAGGTGTGTCATTGAAAGCCTGAAGAACAGGTTGGGGGCATATTCTCCTGGAGATAATCTATCTACAATACCTGGTTTTGCTACCATCTTGATACATAATCAATTCTACTTTTCAAACTACTGTTTATTTTTTTCCCCATCAGTGCTATAGCAAATGGAATGCAGACATTATGCCAACAGTTTCTTTCTGGTTTCTGGGCAAAGCCAAACTAAAATGACTAATATGTTATTACAATCTCCATACACCTTGGGGGCAAATATGTAGTGCAATTATGTAGTAATTGGGCATATAAGTGCCAATATCTAACTTGGCATAAATTTTTAATTCTCTAAACTACTTAAATATCTAATCATGTAAAAATACTGTTGTAAATACAGTAGGAAGACTCAGCTTTTATATGTAAATACAGATAATGTACACTGGAAACTATAATTTTAATTATACTCTTGACAATGTGCCTGTATGCATGGAGAGTTTTCTAATTGTTTATTATTTGTGAACTACACTGGGAAAAAATCTAATATGATTCTTATTTTAGCTATGCCATAAGCTTCCAGTTGGAATATTTGAATTATACATTCATGTTTTCTAAAACATATGTAGCAATAGCACTTAGACTTGTGTACCATTTCACAATGCTTTTACAGCCCTATCTAAACGGTTTACAGAGTCAACACATTGTCCCCAAAAATCTGGGTTCTCATTTTACAGACTTCAGAAGGATGGACGGTTGAGTCAACCTTGAGCCTGGTGAGATTTGAACTGTCAAATTGTAGGCAGCCAGCCAGCAGTCAGCAAAAGTAGCTGCAGTACTGCACTCTGACCATTGTGCCACCATGGCTCGTGTATTTTCAGATGTTTTAAATGTTTTTATTTTTCTCTGAATTAATATATTTCTTTTAAGTAAAGTAAGAGTTATGTAAGTTAAAACAAGCGAAAACGTTAATATAATCCAATCCCTAATAAGACTTACTGTGTAGAAATAATGGTTTAACAAATATATCTGAGTCAAAAATGTAAGAAGTGAGTTTGGTTTTTCCAGTTGCTAAAATTCCTCTCTACATGATCCCTTTTTCTAATCTAGTTATTTAGTTAATATCTTATGTCTCATGACAGACAAATAATCTTGGATGGATAGTTGGAAATAACATTAACTTTCTCAATATGAAAAAATTATTTACTTTTCTTGTCAAGTTATATTAGATTAATATAGATAAAATTGTGCTTTCCAAATCTGACATGTCTATACCCTATTGCCTCTACAAGTTTGCTGTCTGAAGCTCAGAAAAACTTAATGACCTTGGCACTTTACATTTTATAGCCTTGCATTCATTGTCATTGTATAGATACCCAACAAAGGAATGTGGGAATTACAGTATAATATTTTTATGAAAAAAATCCCAAAAGTCCATCTTGACATGCTGCTTATGAACCAAGTTTTTTTTTAAGTTTCAGTGCCACACTTAATTTGTAATATTAATAATAATTTGTAATATGGCAATGTGTTGATGATCTTGGCGTGAATATAAAATGTACAAGTGCCAAAATGAGTTTCCTGGAATAGTAGAACTAAAATCCTAATTCTGTTATAAACGTCAGCTTTGGAAGCCATATTGAGATCAGATGCTCCCACGCTGCCACATCTGAACCTGGGAAAGTGGGAGGGGGGAATTTATTGGACAAAATAACATGCTTTTTCTGATTCAAGGTCAGGTTGTGTTACACATAACTGAGAGGAAGTCTTAACTTGGGACGGATGGTGATTGGGCCATGTGATGTGATGATGGGTGCAGAGGATGGAGTTTGTAGTTTTACTTTTTGTAAGGAAGCCTGGAACTTTCAGATTCAGGTTTCCACAGTTGTGCCAGTTACTATGCAAATAAAAAGGAACTTTTGAGAAGATGTTTGTCTCAGAGTTATTGGGTGGAATGGAGGGTTGCTGGAACACTGACAATAAAGTTCACTATATAGCCTTGAGCCGAGCAAAGTCCTTAGTTGTAAAAACCCTTACAGAGTTGAGATAATACTAGCCACTTCTAGCAAATTCACATGATTGTTGTGAACGTATGGTGAAAGGGAGGAGAAACTATGTATTTATATGAAGTTGCTTGAAGCAAAGAAGAGTAACCCTCTGTACATGCATTTTATGAATTTAAGCTACATGATGTCTGGTTGATAAGATTTTTCTTTCTGTTGTTTCTCTCTTCCATTTCAGCTAGGTATACAACCTACCTTTGGCATTCTGTTTGATATTGATGGAGTATTGGTACGAGGAAGGACCCCAATTCCTGCTGCCCGAAAAGCCTTTCAAAAACTACTTAATTCTCAGGGACAACTTTTGGTGCCTGTAGTATTTGTTACTAATGCAGGAAACTGTCTGTGTCAGAAGAAAGCAGACCAGCTGTCCCATCTTCTTGAAGTTCCAGTAAGTAACTTTATCCCATCTATTGGAATGCTTGTCATTTTCTTCCTTCTCTACAGTACATGAATTGGAATTGTCATATATTTATCTACAGCTTAGAATTTTGTCTTCAACTGATAGAGGCAGCTTCTTAAGCTTCATTACAAATCTTGCCGTTTTTAAATTAAAATAGTTTTACATTTTACATTTTCTTTTGGAAGCCATTTAGGGAATGAGGCTTCCAAAGCACCACAAGAGTGGCCTACATTCTCTCAAGCCTTCTTCGAAGCCTTATTCTCCAAATCATGCCATTTGGGGAATGAAGCTTCTGAAGCATCATGATAATGAAATGTCAGCTTGGAGAATGGTACAAGGCGGCTTTGGTAAGAAGACCTGGCGCAGCCAGCATCTATGCCACATAGGCTGGATATGCCTGTCATCAGCTGGAGAAAAACAACAAAAGTAGGGTGTGGTGTAGCAGGTCCTGTCGAGCACATGGTAGCAGAGGGAATTGGGTCTTCATGGAATGGTGCTGACATGTTAGGGCCTGATTTGGGGTTTTAGGTGGCAGAGAGCTGACATTGCTGAAGACTTCAGGACTCACCTTTGGCCACAGCACTGCTGCCACTCTACTCCTGTGCAGGGTGGCCGAAAGGGCATAGACCAGGAGGATTGAGACAAGTGGGGTAATCGCAGCACCCCTGTGTTCATAAGTGTGGACAGGCTGCCAAGTATCTGAATTTGGAGCACGTGGCTGCAAGGGTGGTGCAATAGTTATAACTTTTGGCATGGGTTGAAAATCCATTTTTTTCAGCACCAGTATAATTTCAGTCACTGAACAAATGGTCATAATTCAAATGCTAAAACAGATTATCCACTTTTTCTCTCTCTTAGATTTCCAAAGACCAAGTTATGATGTCCCATAGTCCTTTGCGAATGTTCAGGCGTTACCATGACAAATGTGTTCTTGTATCAGGACAAGGCCCACTCCTTGACATTGCTAAGCAGTATCCTTGGAAATGCTGGGTTTATTCTGCATTTTGGGCCGAAGATGCATGATAGGGGAATGTGCTAGAGTTAAGCATGTGGTGTGTATTTTTTTTTCCCCAAGATTCAAAGATACATTTTGTAGAGAAAGCAGAAAATGTCTCCTATCAACTCCATGAATTTAGGAAAGCTCAAATGGGATGACACAGAATGCAAAAAAAAAAAAAAAGACAAACTAAGAAGGGGAAGGAGATCTCCTTTACCTCCTGACTCCTTGAATCAATTCCACTAATTCAAAATTCCTCTTTCTTTGAGAAGAGTTAAAGATTTTCAAAGCAAAGTTCCTAGAAATCAGTTTGAAGCCATTTATTAGGAACTCACATAAATGTTTCAGACTGGAATGTACCGTAAAATTATAATGAGTTAATAAGAAACTTGTTCTTGGACATTGTTGTACTTCTGAATAAAAATTAGCTTTCATAAGAATCCTAAACGTAAAGGTCTGAGTGAACCAATGAACAAAGATTGTGTTTATCTCTCTCCTGTATTGTATATATTCTCCTGGAGGATATGGAAACATTTCCTGTACTTAGAATATGTCTGTCACTGCCATTTAAAATGTATTATTTGTTTGGGGAATGCAAAACAAATACGCCTTTCATGAAAACATAGATGCATTGCTATCCATAACCAATATGTCATTAGTCTTGGATTTTGTCGGCCTATTACAATTGACAGGTTGCGAGAAACCTATCCCTTATTGGACATGGTGGATCATGACAGAAGACCTAAAGTTTTGGTAAGTGTACTGTACTTTACTGCTTTTTTTCTTCAATAACTCCTTTCACATTTTTTACATTGTAATTACAGTAGTCTATTGGGCTGCTTATCATGTAAATCAGGGGTCCCCAACCCCCGGCCCGTGGATCAGATCAGACCATGGCTTGTTAGGAACTGGGCTGCCCTGGCAGGCAAGCAAGCTAAGCTTCATCTGCTTGAGCAGGATCTGGATCTGTGCGAAACCATTCCCCCAAATCCGTGAAAAAATTGTCTTCCACAAAACCAGCCCTGGTGCTAGAAAGGTTGGGGACTGCTGATGTAAACAATGTTCTTTCCAAGGATTAATAAGGCTTATGTTGATTCTTTTTGGTCTCGTGGCTAAGGCACCAGGTTAGAAAGCAGTAGATCATGAGTTGCAAGACCTCCTTAGCCATGATAGCCAGCTGAGTACTTTTGGCTAGTCACATACCAAACCACCTCACAGAGTGGTTGTTATGGTGTGAAAATAGGAGAAGTGAGCTGTGTTGAATATGTTTACCACCTTATTTCTAAAAAATGTAATTAATAAAAAGTCAATAAAATTTTATAGAAAAGTTATTCCTAAAAAATAAACCCAAACAGATTCAAACCTAGAGGATTCCAAAATTTTGGAACTGGATATAATGAGCGTCACATGAACAATTGTGATGACCAGGCATGAAATATTGGGAGTATCACTTCCTCTATCTTTGGACCTCACCATTCTACAAATCAAAGGAAGTAATATATTGCCTGGCAAAGCTGTTTCAGTCCCTTCTCTTCTAATAAACCCCTTTGTCCCTCTGACCCAGCACTCCATTCCAAGGCTGCTTCCACTCTTACCTAGATGGTGCCAGTTCCTATTCCTTCCCTATTCCTACTTAGTAGCAGAGCAATAAGCAGAGCAATAGGTGAGCTGGATGATAGGAGAAACAGGAACACAAAATGGACAATACCACATGACTGTGATTCAGACTTCTTTATCTGTTCCCAACCAAACCAGAAATGCTTGAAACTCTTTAACCAGTTTTGAAGATGGGGCTTGAGTCTGACAGAAAAAAATAGTGACCTTTCAAGTGCTTAAATACCTTTCTGAACAGATTTTAGAAAGTGGCAGTATCACTTACCTTTTCTAGACTCAGGAAGTAAATAGTGTCAGTTCAGATTACTAACTGGGTAAAAAATGATTTGGAATTACCAGTAATGTAATCCAGACGAGGAAGTTGAAAAACACCAGGAAGATTTAGCAACAACACTCTTTCCCTGTTAAGAAAACTACCTGGATACATCAATTGTCAATAGTCAAGCTTGACTAAAAGAACTAACTCTACCTAGGCAGATGACTTTTCACACAGTGGTGTGGAGTACAATAAAATAAGTAAATCAATATAAAACTATATTCAATAAAAACAAAACATGCATTAAAATGTGCTGAAGGATATATTTCCAACACTTGTACCCGGAACAGGTGGGAGTTGAAGTTCTACGTTATAAATAAATTAACTCTTTGACATCTTGTTACCAGCTCTCTTTTGTGCCAGTAGCAACATAATGAAAGTATATTTTAATTTGGGTTATAACATAAAGTGGATAAATATTTCCCCATATGCACAAATTAAAAACAGTAATTGTAGTGGTGAAAGTCTGATTGCTCAAGTCTTATTGTTTCCTTGATGCAACATGTACTGCTAATTTGATTGTCAAATATTATGCACTATGTACACAAAGGATGCATTTAAAGTATCTTTCTTGACATCATTTGTAACATTTAAAAGATTGCACTCTTTGTTCTTAGAGTTTCTCAATGTTGACTGATTATTATAGAACAGATTTGATAGCAGCTGACAGAGCAACTGAGGAAATGCTACCAATGACTAATAACACAAAGGCTCAAATATTGTAGTAGGGAAGAGGGTAAAAAGAGCCAGCAGCATTGGACTGATCCAGCTTTGTTCAATTGAATCTCTCCTGACATCTGGAGTTCAGGTCAATGTATAGTTAGCTCTCTAATTAGCTATGCAGGCTTGCTTGTTTTGCAGAAAGGAGTGGTTATGGTTTGTTATTTTGTGATGCAGTTGTTTTGTTCCTTTTCTTTGCTCTTTTACTATATACTGGTAAGCACACTACGAGATAGATGTTGCTGGTATACCATTTTGCAGCAAACACATGTGCAGCTAAAGGAAAGAGAAATCAGAGAAAAACAATTTAATAATAAGAACTTTCAGATGATCACAGCTGGAGAGTCAGAAGAGTGGAGGAAAAAGCCTTGGTGATATGTTGAATTAGGCTTAAGAAGATAAGTGATATGTTAGAGGGGATTCTGTGTTATAAACACAGGAGTCGTTTCTAAAACACATTGGCAATTATATGGACTTCTTTTACAGCAAGATTATGGGATAAAACATTAAAGATCAAGTGTGCAAGTTATATAAATGAGAAGTATCTCATCTCCTTATGTTTGTGATGGCAGCTTTAAAGTTTTTTAGAGGTGCTGGGAATTTAATCCAAACATGGGCTGTGCCCATAAATGTTCAGAGGATTGCTTACTTTGTTTCTTCTTTGTGCTAATAAAGGAAACTTTTTCTTAGTTAATGTAGCTTGTTTTTAATTTGTAGCACTTACCCACAATGGATTTCCCCAAGATTGAAGGTCAGTGTGTCTAGATGTTTATGTTTAATTCTGAAATTTACTCCAAGTAAAATGGGCTGCCTAGTGATAGCTCTGAAAGCATTTTGCTGTTTTTTGCTAGCTGCTGTGATATATCTAAATAAGAAAGTGATAGTCAGCATGTACAATATGTGTCATTTTACAATGGTTGGTTCATTTTTATTTGTTTCTTTTATTTTTCTAGTATCTACATTCTTTATAAATCTACCATTGATGTTAAGCTGTGAAACTTCTAGTTCTTTACCAAACCGCATTCTTACAGTTTTAATTTCATGAGGTTTAAAAACTAATGAAAAAACTAGTAACATGAATTTTCAAGTAGTATTTTCATCATTATTCTATGTTCATTCATTTTACAGAAGTTCTGTTGAGGTTGTAATCATACTCCATTGGCAGTGAATTATCCGTGTTTGCATAAATAATTGATTTCTGTACAGTTTGATTTTTTTCTTGTTTTTTTCTCTATTTCTAAAAAGAAAAAGGACTGAAGTACTTTAAATACAAAGTAATTATTTGCTTTTAAATATCAGTGGACACACCAATGTAATGCTATCCCAGGTGATTTTTGTGATACTTAAAAAAAGATTTTTGCATTTTAAGATGTGCTAATTTTTATGTATTTATTACTAAATTTTAATGGCATGATCACAGCAGCCTTTATGAGCTGATTAAAAATAGGTTCAATGATTAAATGCAACCTGGGCCTGTGGTTTGCCTATTCTTGTTATAGTGTGCATGAAAGATAGAAGGTGGTGTGTTTGTTATTTTGCATTAGGAAATAGCTTATAATCACACACATGTAACACATTGATATTGTGCTTATATTACAGCAGTTATTTTGTTTGGTGAGCCAGTGAGGTGGGAAACCAACTTACAGTTGATAATAGATGTTCTTTTGACAAGTGGCTATCCTGGAAATCCTTATCAACGAACGTATCCACATATTCCTGTATTGGCTTGCAATATGGACTTGATGTGGGCAGCTGAAGCTCAATCCCCAAGGTAAGGCAAAGATACTTGTTGTTCTGAGTATTTTTCTTTAAGTTCTAACATAGATTCTCAGCTACTACCGTAGTCAAAGATCTGTGGTATCATAATTGTTTGATTTGATTTGATAATTGGTGACTGTTCAGTGAATGTAATCAAAGCTTGAATTAATATTTGGGTCAGTGAAAACATCTTTCCTCCCATTTAAAATGCACTTTTTGCTTTGTTGGCCACTTTTGAAAGAACGTAGACATCCATTTTATATGTATAATGTCATATTGGCATGTCCAATGATAACTGATGCTTAGGATACTATCATGCTAAATCCTGGAAGAAGTGGTAAAAGGGAGGTCTTTCATAAGAACAGTAATTTGATGGAAAGGAAGTACTACTTCCAGATGCATTATTAGTATCATTGGAAACACATGAATTCTAGTTTTTAGGTGCAAATATACATAGACTAAAGTTAATTGCTTTATTTATAGTAAACTAGCCAATAACCCGGCGTTGCCCAGGTATTTATTTATCCCAATCCTGTATTAGACAAGAAAATCCTGTAGTCGGGACTCATGCTATTGTACTGTCTGTTGCGCAGCATTGCAATTCTTCTATTCCTCCACAATTGGGAGTGATGAAGCCATGGCAGAAGCCATTTTAAGGCACATACCCCTCCCCAAGGGGTGTTAGGGGTAGTCTTACCGCACACAGTATTTGTTTCCAGAGGGTAAGTCATCTGTATACCAGGTTTGGTTGAAATTGCTTGAGGCGTTCCAGAGTTATGCTGGAACATACATTAAATAAATATAATATTAATTATTAATGAAATTACCAAATTAATTAATTATTATATATAATAAAATAATAATAAAAATAATAAATAAATATAAATATAAAATAACAATAATATAATAAATATGTGATGACCCAGAGTATAACACAAACATAACAAAATCCAAAATGTAAATAAATATCCTTTAATGCCTCCAACTTGGCCCACTGTTCAATAATACTCAGTTGGAGATAAAACGTACTCAGAAATAGTCTTCAAAAAAAAGCAAAACAGTCCGAACTTAATAAGCAGATAGAGGTGAAATAAAAAACCAAACAAACTACAATGATGAAATTTCCACAATGGAACAGGAGAAGTGTTCACCAAATTCAAGGAGATAACATGGCACAGTCTGTTGGAAGGACGCCAACCAAGATAACTTCAGACCAAAATAAAACATGCTTTGTTTCCAGCGTTTGCCAGTAAGCAGATCCAAACTCTTAGGCAGTTGTCACACCTGCAGCCCATAAAAGAGGATCAAGGCCCTCTCCTCCTGAGTAGGCCACGTCTCTCCCTTATCCTCTCCTCCCTGCATGCCTTAGGATGGATAGGGGATGGGCCTGGGTCCTCCTCTGCCTGCTCAACCAGCCTCTGCCCTTCCCCAGCCTCCACCACAACCTCCAGAGCCACATTTCCACTCCCTGTCGGCTGTTCTTCCTCTTCCTCAGAGTTAGTCTCTACCAGGAGCATGACAAACTAATTAAAAATAAATAATATTATATATATAATATATATGTGTACGTATATTAGATAGAATAGAATAGAATAGAATAGAATAGAATAGAATAGAATAGAATAGAACAGAATAGATGGAGATTGATAGATGAATAGCTCGGTTTGTCAATTGAATTGCCAATTAGATTACGGTTGTAGTAGTTGACTGCTAATATATGTAACTTGTGCTTCTGAATTAATGTCTTTCTCTCCTGAAATTAAACTATTATTTTTGTCTGATTCTGATCATAGCATTATTGTTATTTTTTTTGTGGTCCTGCCAAAAGCATAAAGATAATCTCACAGTAAACTTAATTAATTCAGCCTTGTAAATGTTTTGTGGAGGCTATCTTGCCCAGATGGGTTTTTTTCCCACACCATTAAAAATGTTTTGCCATGTTTCTTCAACTTTAAGTGATTGCCAGGAATTATGCAGGCAGAAGAAAAAGTAAGTCAAAGCAATCTTGCCTTATAATTCACAGAGGAGAAGCTAAGGATTTGGATAAATAGTATATATAAAATTCTTCCTTTTGATGTAATAAGTTGTTTTTATCCTACCAGCAACTTAACTTTATTGACCAAATTTTATTTCTGTGTTTCAGGTTTGGGCATGGAACATTTATGGTTTGTTTGGAAAATATTTATAAGAAGATCACTGGCAAAGAATTGAAATATGAAGCATTGATGGGGAAGCCTAGTGAAGTGACTTATCACTATGCAGAGTACCTCATTAGGACTCAAGCATCTGCAAAGCAGTGGAAGAGCCCTATTCAAACGTTGTATGCCATTGGGTAGGAGATTTCTTTTCTTCCCTCTCATTTGCTATCTGGAAAAAAAAGTTAAATTTCAGGCAAGCTACTGTTAAATGCAGGTAGACAATTGAAAAGAGTAGTTAGATAGCCCCCTGAAAACGTGTTCATCCCTAAACTAATTGCTTTGCAGGTTGTCAATTCACTCTTGCTCTTTGAGACAGAAAGTCAATAACAAAATCTGCCCCACACTTCTACATATCACTACCCAATCTGCCATTTGAAACCCTCTTTTAAGATCTCAAGCTGCCTCTAGCAAAGATATAACTTGCTCGTGTGTGCTTAAGTACTACAGTCATGTTTTCTTAATGGATTGATTGGTCTCCAGCACCAACTAAGGTTGTCTTGTAGTTCATGGATATCATGCTTGAGATTTCAGTTCAAACACTACAGATTTCACTATGGAAGAGCTATATGCGAAAACATTTGAATAATTGGTTACTCATCTAATTGTACAATTTCAGCTAAGCTTCAAATTGATTTTGAAAATAATTCCATTGCAATATAATCCTGCCTATTGTAAGCTGAGATTATTTAGCATGAAATGCCATTGCATGGCTGCCAATAAAAAGGCAGCCTAAGAGTGCTAAAATGATCCAGCAGCTTCCTTTAACTTCAGTTTCTCTATCCCAGCTTACTGGGAATTTGGAGAGCTATAATAATTGCAGCATGATGAGTTAAAGAAGCTTGCCCTGTGCCTTATCCTGCTTGTGCATTTCAGATTTTATTCATGCTTGCGAGAAACAGTTTTAAAAAACCTTTTCAATTGAAAGTTAACATTCTGAGAAGTCAGATTTTTTAATTTAGTTGTCATCTGTATGTTTTAGCAGTCTTGAGTGTGTCAACTTGACATTGGGATATGCATGAAATGGTTGCACTGTGAGAACACTTGTGAGGCTGTAACATGCTCATCTTCAAAGTAACGTTTTCTGCTTTCATTGAACTATAGTTTCTGTTATTCCCCCATTGAGGAAATTGGAAGATGAGCTCAAAGACATTCCACTGACAACAGTTTAGAAAAGGTTCACACCTGCAATCTTAAAAAAAATTATTATTTTAAATACTTAAAATAATACAGGCAATTCTCAGTTAACTATCACTCGTTCAGCAACTATTCAAAGTTAAGCCCGTATAAGTGACGGGCTTATAACCAGTCTTCATTGTTCTGGCCATCACAGCACCCCCAGTCACATGATTGCTATTATAATGTTTGGCAACCAGCTCACACATATGACAGTTGCAGCATATAAGTCATGTGACTACAGTAATCTGATCACCATTTGCAATCTTCCCTATTAGCTTCCCACAAGTAAAGTCATTGAGAAGCTGACACGGAAAGGCACAAATTGCTCCTTTAAGTCAATTCTGCCACTTTTCTCCCGAGGAGCCTGCTATATCAAGAGCCATGGTGGTACAGTGGTTAGAATGCAGTACTGCAGACTACTTCTGCTGACTGCCGGCTGACTGCAATTTGGCAGTTCGAATCTCACCAGCTCAAGGTTGACTCAGCCTTCCATCCTTCCGAGTGGATAAAATGACCCAGATTGTTGGGGGTAATATACTGACTCTGTAAACTGCTTAGAGACCTGTAAACCACTGTGAAGCGGTATACAAGTCTAAGTGCTATTGCTATTACTACAGAGCTCTCATAGCACATGCCCACCTGCAGCACCCCCCACCCACAGTCCCAATTATTACCATTATCCAATGACTATCTGTACTGTTTAAATATTCCCACAAAGGGAACTTTAACACATATAGTTTCCCATGAAGAGGGGATGGCACATTATGCAGAGAGTAGTCTATGTCTCATTCCAAGCAGCAGCGGTTAGACAAATGACTGAAATTGAAAATAAAATGAACTCTGCTCCCTAATTTAATAAAATGAACTCTGATGCCCTAATAATTATACATATAGCTCCTATATTTTGGTTTTGATGGAATTTTCCTGGGTTTCTAGGGACAACCTGATGACAGATATTTATGGTGCTAATCTTTACAACCGCTACCTTGAAGAGAAGATCTCAAGAAGAAGTTCTAAGGCTCATGTCCAGGCCAAAGCGCTGGGGGGCACAAGATCTGCCACCGTTTCTCAGGAAGAGGAGCTTGAGAATTCTTGGGAAAATGAACTTGCATCAGCTACTGCCACAAGATGTACATCTGTTCTTGTTTGCACCGGAGTTTATAACCCTCATACAGAGGTGCCTTCTGATACAAGGGAGAACATCACTGAGACTGTCTTTCATGGGCACAGAGATTTCAGATTTGATCCTGCTTTAGTAGAACCAAAACACATAGTGTCAGATGTTGAAGCTGCTGTTGATCTTATATTTCAACTGGAAACCTTTGTACCACATGAAAACTGCAGGACTTCCTAATGACTTTGTGATGCTGTTCCTTCCTTTTCCTTCTGAAACACTAAGAGGGGTACTTAATATCAAACAGTCTTTAACATACCAATGTTTTTATGTAACATTTCTAGGACATTTCTAAAAAAAAAACCAAAACAGAACAGTACATCCCATATATTTCTTTTCTGTGCGATTTATTTTAAAGACCAAAACTGTTATGAATTGTACTTTTTAATACATTTTCTTCTACATATTGACTTCACTCCTAATTCAGAGATCAATCCAGATTTGATTTTTTTTTAAACAAATTTTATTAATTTTTTAAAGGCAAACAAAACATAAGACATAAAAGCATAAAACCTCCTTTCTAAAAGTTACTTATAGGTTTTAACAAGGCAAATAAAACATTATTTTATACAGCATAGTTCCACATTATCACATTTCCATTTAAGCACATATATATCTTTTCCAAATTTCTGATAATTTTTCCCTTCACTTTTATTCAATTATATTTCTTTCTATCAAGGTTTTATTAATTCTCAATCAAATATAAACACACAAAATGCAAAATATAAAACATAAAACTTCTGACAAACAAAACATAAAACATAGAAACATAAAACCTCCTTTCTAAAAGCTGCTTATAGATTTTAACAAAGCAAATAGAACATTATTTTGTACAGCATAGTTCCAAATTATCACATTTCCATTTAAACACATATATATCTTTTCCGAATTTCTCATTGTTTCTCCCTTCACTTTTATTCAATTATATTTCTTTCTATCAAGGTTTTAATTCTCAATCAAACATAAACACACAAAATACAAAACATAAAACAAGACAAAGAAACATAAAACCTCCTTTCTGAAGGCTACTTGTAGATTTTGACAAAACAAATAAGACATTCTTTTATACAACATAATTCCAAGTTATCATTAGTACACATCTTTTCCAAATTTTTCATTGTTTCTCCCTTTAGTTTTATTCCTCCAAGGTTTTATTAATTCTCAATCAAACATAGCTAACCAAAACACAAAACATAAAACTTATTTTTGGAAAGTGGCTTAACCCCGGGTTACATCTTTTTTTACAGACCTAAATCAAATTCATGCTCACCTTATATACCATTCTTATCTTATTTACCATTCTATATTTTCTATATAATTTCTCCCTTCTTTTCACTCTCTTAATTATATTTTGTTTATTTCATCTTATTTTAAAATTATACTTGTATCTTTTGTCCGTTCTTTTCCAATTATCTATTTATCTCTTCTCTTTAACAGAAAATTTCCCCTGTAATCACTTTTAAAGTGTGACGCCTTTCTATCTTTCCCCTAAATTGACACTTAAAATAATACATAATTTCCATTCTGATTCTGCTTAGTACATTCTACATTCTACATTTTGCATTTTAAAATAAAAGAATAATAAATTTATAATATAGTTAAATATATAATTTCCATTCTAATTCTAATTCTGCTTAATACATTATTTTAAAATAAGAAAATGAAATGGTAAATTTATAATAACATTAAGACAATAACAAATTAAACTATAACTAAGCATTAATCATTTTACACATTCTCTTTAATATTTTATTGAATATTGAAATCTATCATTATTAAAGATTTTAATATTTTAATATTTTATTAAATCTTATAATATTCCAGTACACTATTTCAAATGCAAATACTAAAATACTATCTAGGTACTCTTGCAGAATCTTTCTTTAATTATGCTTTACCCTTTATCTCTGAAAAAGATCTGCTTTTTGGCATCTTGTTTCAAGCCTTTGTGACTTTTTTTCCCTTTTTCCCTCCCTTTCTTCTCCTGTCTGGCCTTTTTGCCCGCCCCCTCTCCTAACCTCCATCTTTTTAACTTCCCCTCTCTGTTGTATTTCTCTTTTCTGTTGCTTTCTAACATTGTACATTTTTTTCACCTTATTTTTCTCTTTCTTGGTTGTTTTGTTAAATCTTAAATTCTCAATTTTCCTTCCCCTCTTCCTATTTTCTTTCTTAGTTGAACTTTTTTGTCCATTAAAGATGGCTTCTTCCTCTTCTTCTTCTCCTTTTTCCCCATGTAGTTGCTGATAGGTAGAAATCGCCATTTCTAAAAAGTGGAAGACAGCTCCCAAAGAATCCTTGCCTTCTTGTTCTCCTTCCTTTAATTTTTCATATTCCATTTTTAATTCATCCACAGATAGTGCCATTGTAAAGCTTTTTCTTCTTCTTCTTTTTTTTAAGAACAATCCAAATGTTTTTAATCTTAAAGTAATTTCCAAGTGTTCCAAAGTTATCAAACAATCCAAACAGACACAAAATATTTCCTCTTCTTCTCTTTGCACTTTCTCCTCCTGGGGCAAAATCCCAAAATATATTTTAAAGCCTTATTACAGTTAATTTCTGGTCTTGTAATCTTCAAGGCATCTCCTCCAACAAATTCTTAAAGATTTTTTAGTCCTCTCCCTTCCCACTTATAACAAAGAGCTTATTTTTACCTTCTGTAAAGAAGCAGGTTTTTCAATGTCTGTTTGCTATCTCCGTAAGGAAGGGGAGTGAACTTTCCCTTCAGCATTTTCATCTGCTGCTTTGATCCTCTTTTGGAAACAAATGTATCAATCAAAGAGTCATATTTCCAGGGTGTTTATCTTAATTTCCCGGTTCAGCCAAAAAACTTTCTCTTTCTAATTCTTCCTCCTGCACAAATCTTGTCCGGTTGAAGATCTCTTTGTGGCTACCATTACTGACAGCCGCTCCACCGCCTCAGGAAAAAGGAGTCTTGCCGGCTGGGGAAAGGGGTTGCGATGTCCCCAGACCCCTGTCCGGATCTCCTCTATCTTCCGCTGCCTCTCCAGGGTAGCGACAACCCCCAAATCCAATTGGATCGGGGGTACTTCAGCAGTGAGCACAGCAGAGACCTGCAGAATCGCAGATTCCTGCTGCCGCCGAAGCCTTGCAACTGGAAGTATTCCTTTTCCTTCTGAAAAACTAAGAGGGGTACTTAATATCAAACAGTCTTTAACATACCAATGTTTTTATGTAACATTTCTAGGACATTTCTAAAAAAAACCCCAAAACAGAACAGTACATCCCATATATTTCTTTTCTGTGCCGATTTATTTTAAAGACCAAAACTGTTATGAATTGTACTTTTTAATAAATTTTCTTCTACATATTGACTTCACTCCTAATTCAGAGATCAATCCAGATTTGATCATTAATGTCAAACATTAGGTGCATTTGGCAGTCAAAATTGTAAAACACGCACGCTATTAAATTCCATACATTGCACTTAATTCCCAAGGAATTAAAATGTTCCCATCTATAGTATCCAACTTTTTCTTTATCCCATTACCTTCCCTTGGATCAATGCTCTGAATGAACCACAAAAGCTGCATGTTGATGCTTTTCTTTTGTATTCAATTTGAGATTGAATGAGAGAATTCATAAGTGAACAGAAGGGCTTTGCCGAGGTAGGTATATGCAGAATCCATTAAAATGAATGGGATTTGCAGGACAGCAAATACTATTTTGCTCAAATCCCACTTTGAATAAGCTGCCTAAAGTTGTTTCTGTCAGACTTTGCCCTTTGGGTTTTATTATTAATCATTCTGGTGTTTTTGCTGCACTGAACAACAGAATTTAGTAGTTCCTTGCGCTTTTAGTTTTAACTTGAAACTCTGCAAGGGCAATCAGGTAGTGATAAGATAATGTTTTATCTTCCTTTTGCTACTAAATGTTACATGTTTAATTTTTAAGAACTATGTATTCATAAATGTAAACTAAATTTTATGTCTTATTTTATGAAACGTTGTTAACTGCAGCAGTCTGCCCAGTAAAATATTCTTGGGACAATTAAAGTCCCTTTTTTATCTTGTTTAGTTTTTGTTATGAATCTGTGGCAAGAAACTTTATCAAAACTTTGATAGTGCAAGCAGGTATTGTCTTTTCACCCAAACATTTTTATATGTGTCACTCTTAATACTCTTAATATAGGAAAGCCTGCTAATCCCTTTTCTGCATTTTTTTTCTTCTGCACATTTTCCATTAGCATGGCCTCAGTCCCTATAATTTCTTAGCTTCCACACTTCAAATGTTTATATTTTGCTGTTAAAATGGCCTTTGTCCACTTATTAAATATGAAGAGCAAACACAGAACTAATTCAATATTTTTTGTTACAGCAGTCATTTTCTCTTTCATGCAAATCTTTATTTACTGAATATTATCAGTATTTAATTAATTTATACATTGCTTTGCATAGCAAGGAATATAACTTTTTCAGCAATTCCCTACTGAAGATTTGTGTTTTGCTAAAAACACAGATACAAAGAATTTCATTTGGACTTCATGTTTCTCCTCTTCACACATTTATCTAATCTATTTCAGACATTCCCCCAATTTTCTGGGGATTTTAAGGCATAAATGGAGCTGTTTGTATGCTTTTCAGATTAGTTTCTTTTCTTTTTTCTTTCCTTTGTCAAAGCTTCAGGTCCTTTTTGTTTCCCTTGAGTAAGACTTAGCTTTAAAAAAAAGAATCCTGCTTTCCATGCTGGCATAGTTTTCCTGACCTACAGCATGTACACTATCTGAGTTTGCAGTATGGAAAATACTCAGGCATTCTGGGGAAACTGTACTTTCAATTTTTCTATTAACCTTTCTTAACCCCTTTTCATTAAAAACAAAATGGGGAAATGCTTATACAGATGTCTAAATTTTTCAAAATCTTGTTAAAAAATAAAAAAAAATCAATGTTTTAATTGGCAGTTGAAATTACTACTACTCGACAGCCTCCATATGAGCAACCTTATGAAAGGTATTATGTTCTCCCAAAAAGCAACCAGGTCTGTTGCAGACTACTGCCACAAACTATTGCATTAACCAGTAGCATGTTCACATGACTACAAGGAAAAGATTATCTAATCACTTGGTCAATCATTACTGTTCTGATGATTAAACTTTACAAAACTCTGAGTCTATGGAGTCCTAGACTAAATAAAGCTATCGACAAAAATTGATCTGAATATACTTCATTCCAGTTCAACACTCACCTCTTAAATGCAATCTGTTTTACCTAACTATATCTGTAGAGTTAGATATAGAGTTCTGGGAGTTAGATAACTCCCAGAATTTTCAGAAATTGGCATGCTGATTTGGAAGATCTGGGA